TGGCCGGGGGTTGTGTTCACCAGTCTCTTCTTTATTGGCCGGGGGTTGTGTTCACCAGTCTCTTCTTTATTGGCCGGGGGTTGTGTTCACCAGTCTCTTCTTTATTGACCGGGGGTTGTGTTCACCAGTCTCTTCTTTATTGGCCGGGGGTTGTGTTCACCAGTCTCTTCTTTATTGGCCGGGGGTTGTGTTCACCAGTCTCTTCTTTATTGGCCGGGGGTTGTGTTCACCAGTCTCTTCTTTATTGACCGGGGGTTGTGTTCACCAGTCTCTTCTTTATTGGCCGGGGGTTGTGTTCACCAGTCTCTTCTTTATTGGCCGGGGGTTGTGTTCACCAGTCTCTTCTTTATTGGCCAGGGGTTGTGTTCACCAGTCTCTTCTTTATTGGCCGGGGGTTGTGTTCACCAGTCTCTTCTTTATTGGCCGGGGTTGTGTTCACCAGTCTCTTCTTTATTGGCCGGGGGTTGTGTTCACCAGTCTCTTCTTTATTGGCCGGGGGTTGTGTTCACCAGTCTCTTCTTTATTGACCGGGGGTTGTGTTCACCAGTCTCTTCTTTATTGGCCGGGGGTTGTGTTCACCAGTCTCTTCTTTATTGGCCGGGGGTTGTGTTCACCAGTCTCTTCTTTATTGGCCGGGGGTTGTGTTCACCAGTCTCTTCTTTATTGGCCGGGGGTTGTGTTCACCAGTCTCTTCTTTATTGACCGGGGGTTGTGTTCACCAGTCTCTTCTTTATTGGCCGGGGGTTGTGTTCACCAGTCTCTTCTTTATTGACCGGGGGTTGTGTTCACCAGTCTCTTCTTTATTGGCCGGGGGTTGTGTTCACCAGTCTCTTCTTTATTGGCCGGGGGTTGTGTTCACCAGTCTCTTCTTTATTGGCCGGGGGTTGTGTTCACCAGTCTCTTCTTTATTGGCCGGGGGTTGTGTTCACCAGTCTCTTCTTTATTGGCCGGGGGTTGTGTTCACCAGTCTCTTCTTTATTGGCCGGGGGTTGTGTTCACCAGTCTCTTCTTTATTGGCCGGGGGTTGTGTTCACCAGTCTCTTCTTTATTGGCCGGGGGTTGTGTTCACCAGTCTCTTCTTTATTGACCGGGGGTTGTGTTCACCAGTCTCTTCTTTATTGACCGGGGGTTGTGTTCACCAGTCTCTTCTTTATTGGCCGGGGGTTGTGTTCACCAGTCTCTTCTTTATTGGCCGGGGGTTGTGTTCACCAGTCTCTTCTTTATTGACCGGGGGTTGTGTTCACCAGTCTCTTCTTTATTGGCCGGGGGTTGTGTTCACCAGTCTCTTCTTTATTGGCCGGGGGTTGTGTTCACCAGTCTCTTCTTTATTGGCCGGGAGTTGTGTTCACCAGTCTCTTCTTTATTGGCCGGGGGTTGTGTTCACCAGTCTCTTCTTTATTGACCGGGGGTTGTGTTCACCAGTCTCTTCTTTATTGGCCGGGGGTTGTGTTCACCAGTCTCTTCTTTATTGACCGGGGGTTGTGTTCACCAGTCTCTTCTTTATTGGCCGGGGGTTGTGTTCACCAGTCTCTTCTTTATTGGCCGGGGGTTGTGTTCACCAGTCTCTTCTTTATTGGCCGGGGGTTGTGTTCACCAGTCTCTTCTTTATTGGCCGGGGGTTGTGTTCACCAGTCTCTTCTTTATTGGCCGGGGGTTGTGTTCACCAGTCTCTTCTTTATTGGCCGGGGGTTGTGTTCACCAGTCTCTTCTTTATTGGCCGGGGGTTGTGTTCACCAGTCTCTTCTTTATTGGCCGGGGGTTGTGTTCACCAGTCTCTTCTTTATTGACCGGGGGTTGTGTTCACCAGTCTCTTCTTTATTGGCCGGGGGTTGTGTTCACCAGTCTCTTCTTTATTGACCGGGGGTTGTGTTCACCAGTCTCTTCTTTATTGACCGGGGGTTGTGTTCACCAGTCTCTTCTTTATTGGCCGGGGGTTGTGTTCACCAGTCTCTTCTTTATTGACCGGGGGTTGTGTTCACCAGTCTCTTCTTTATTGGCCGGGGGTTGTGTTCACCAGTCTCTTCTTTATTGGCCGGGGGTTGTGTTCACCAGTCTCTTCTTTATTGGCCAGGGGTTGTGTTCACCAGTCTCTTCTTTATTGGCCGGGGGTTGTGTTCACCAGTCTCTTCTTTATTGGCCGGGGTTGTGTTCACCAGTCTCTTCTTTATTGGCCGGGGGTTGTGTTCACCAGTCTCTTCTTTATTGGCCGGGGGTTGTGTTCACCAGTCTCTTCTTTATTGGCCGGGGGTTGTGTTCACCAGTCTCTTCTTTATTGGCCGGGGGTTGTGTTCACCAGTCTCTTCTTTATTGACCGGGGGTTGTGTTCACCAGTCTCTTCTTTATTGGCCGGGGGTTGTGTTCACCAGTCTCTTCTTTATTGGCCGGGGGTTGTGTTCACCAGTCTCTTCTTTATTGGCCGGGGGTTGTGTTCACCAGTCTCTTCTTTATTGGCCGGGGGTTGTGTTCACCAGTCTCTTCTTTATTGGCCGGGGGTTGTGTTCACCAGTCTCTTCTTTATTGGCCGGGGGTTGTGTTCACCAGTCTCTTCTTTATTGGCCGGGGGTTGTGTTCACCAGTCTCTTCTTTATTGGCCGGGGGTTGTGTTCACCAGTCTCTTCTTTATTGACCGGGGGTTGTGTTCACCAGTGTCTTCTTTATTGACCGGGGGTTGTGTTCACCAGTCTCTTCTTTATTGGCCGGGGGTTGTGTTCACCAGTCTCTTCTTTATTGGCCGGGGGTTGTGTTCACCAGTCTCTTCTTTATTGACCGGGGGTTGTGTTCACCAGTCTCTTCTTTATTGGCCGGGGGTTGTGTTCACCAGTCTCTTCTTTATTGGCCGGGGGTTGTGTTCACCAGTCTCTTCTTTATTGGCCGGGGGTTGTGTTCACCAGTCTCTTCTTTATTGGCCGGGGGTTGTGTTCACCAGTCTCTTCTTTATTGACCGGGGGTTGTGTTCACCAGTCTCTTCTTTATTGGCCGGGGGTTGTGTTCACCAGTCTCTTCTTTATTGACCGGGGGTTGTGTTCACCAGTCTCTTCTTTATTGGCCGGGGGTTGTGTTCACCAGTCTCTTCTTTATTGGCCGGGGGTTGTGTTCACCAGTCTCTTCTTTATTGGCCGGGGGTTGTGTTCACCAGTCTCTTCTTTATTGGCCGGGGGTTGTGTTCACCAGTCTCTTCTTTATTGGCCGGGGGTTGTGTTCACCAGTCTCTTCTTTATTGGCCGGGGGTTGTGTTCACCAGTCTCTTCTTTATTGGCCGGGGGTTGTGTTCACCAGTCTCTTCTTTATTGGCCGGGGGTTGTGTTCACCAGTCTCTTCTTTATTGGCCGGGGGTTGTGTTCACCAGTCTCTTCTTTATTGGCCGGGGGTTGTGTTCACCAGTCTCTTCTTTATTGACCGGGGGTTGTGTTCACCAGTCTCTTCTTTATTGGCCGGGGGTTGTGTTCACCAGTCTCTTCTTTATTGGCCGGGGGTTGTGTTCACCAGTCTCTTCTTTATTGACCGGGGGTTGTGTTCACCAGTCTCTTCTTTATTGGCCGGGGGTTGTGTTCACCAGTCTCTTCTTTATTGGCCGGGGGTTGTGTTCAAGGTAGCATATCGGTTGACAGTGTACAGTCAAATGTCACGTATTATTTTGGTCACCACTTACCCGCGGAGCAGCAGTTTTTGACTATACTGGAACCTTCCTGTAAAGATCACTGGATCCGCCGCTGTGAGCTCATCGGATATCTGACTCTGGCAAGAAGACTCTTTCCTGACAAACACTCATTTGCCTCATCTCACTCCCTCCCGCCTGACTCTTCCTTATCTATCTTACCATTACCTTCATCTTCTGTTTCCCCTTATCCGTCTCCTCCTCTATATCTGCCCTTACTGCTGTGTTCTCATCTACTTCCTCCTCAGGCGCGTGCCCCGTATGGGTTCCTGGGTGCGCGGAACCCCCCTTTTTTCGCTCAAAATGCAGGATTTTGCTTCATTTTTGAAATTTTTTCCGGGGAGGGGGGGCGGAACCCCCTTGAAGGGCACCGGCGCACTCGCCTGCTCCTCATCCTGCTCCTGTTGTTTCTTCTCCTTGTGATCAGCTCTTCCTGCCATCGCATACTGGTCCAACTGTCTCCTAGTACTAATTTCTCCTACTCATTGGCCTTAACTGTTCCTGGCATGAATATCTTGAATATTTAGCTGTCGTCCTCCGAGGTATCAGGTGTGGGTGCTGCAATATGCCTGGATGGTCTGCCTTTTTGAGTGGGTACTGCATGTGCATGTGCATTTGTAAGCTCTGTGAGTGTCGGCGGTGTCGGGGTGTGTATGGGTTTATCTACCCCGAACCCGCTAGCCCCCAGCGGAGCTGGTGGAGGTTCCGGTGATAGCAGAGCACAGGTTGTGCTCACAGTTTTGGCATTTTGAGGCCCAGCATCTGGTATTGTCTCGGGCTGTGTCAGTGACATAAGGGCCGGGTACTTGCACGGTATGTCAGGTTTTGGCCGTTTGGCTTTAAGCTGCATCCGCCGGTAGAGCGGTGCAGTGGTACTGGATGATTACTATACAATTACATTACCAACAAGTGCCATGCTGTGTGGTGATGTCTGCGGCCTTCTTTCTCTTCTTTCTCTTCTTTCTCTTCATAACGGGCCCTGATTTCTCTTGTCCGACACATTCAGTTGTCCAGCATGAAGTAGTCAGATATGTGACATTTGACTGTATTGTCGCAGTTGGTAATTTCTAACGGAGACTGTTAATAGTGGCGATTAATAAAATCAGTTGTGCTGTCATTGTAACACGTGTCTCGTTGACGACACACGCACACAAGTTCCAGGTAAGTCCAATTCGAGTTAACCATAACGTTATCTTGTGACTATCATCAGTGGTTGTCATCACTCAAGGGATTGAACAAAAAGGACAGTGCAACTGATTTTACTTATTGCCATTATTAAACTGTTGTTTCCACGGCATGTATTTAGAGACCGTTCAGATGTTCTTTCTTTCTTTCCTTTGCACAGCGAGATCGAGAGGATGGACTTTTCCCCATTTATGTGAGTTATCACTCTTGGCCAGTCAAGGAAGTACTTTAATCCTGCAGGTATAAGTTAGTTGTGACATGTCATTCCACATGGCATGGCAACTTAGAGGCCATTTAAATTATCACTGTTTGCTTTTTCAAGAATTTTTCCTACTGAAGGTGGCTTATTGGGCTCTTTGGAGATAATGTAAAATGGGCAATGTTTGAAACATAGAAAATGTTAGCAATATCTGCAAGAAGAGCATGATGCTAGTATCAACCAGCGCAAAGTAAAACTTCAATAGTGAGTGCATGCAACTTGGGAGGCTCAATTCTATCAAAGATAAGAAATGAAACGGAAGCTTCACGAGGGTGAATTGTAACAAGCCAAATGCGGCCTATATCCTGCAGCACTGTACTTTGTTAACAGTGATGGGTGGGTGGTTGGTTGGTTGGTTGTTACTTTGCGTTGTCGAATTGTGGTTAGACCGTACTGTCCACGTGGGCGTGGGAAGGTATTTTAGGGTGGTATGGTCAGTCACCTGAAGTACAATAATTATACTTGTGGGGTTGGGGTGCCCCCCCCCCCCTGCAGTCAGGCATAGTGGGATGGTCTAAGACCATGATTGAGAAACAGAGGGTACCAGGTTCAAGTCCGCGGCTTGGAAGCAGAATGATTTTTTCCAGCTGTGCTTCGAGGGAAACATCGATGCAGCGAATGGGATTTTCAGTCTTTGACAACTTTGCTGGTGGGCTGATCTACTTACCTCCCACCGCTTTAGGAGGAGCATCTGTGCCTTTGATCTTTGCAGGGTGGTGGCGTTCCTACGGGTGCTGAAAACTCAATTCAACTGAGTCTCAAGCGACCCGTAAAAATAAAAATTAAGCGAGGAATTCACTCTCCAAAGTACAGAGTTTCTTTTTTTTTAATGCTGGTTTTCGCAGGTCATGGTGGAACTTGGATCAGGACCAGGCTGCTTCTTTGATAATCTGAGCGAGATTTCAAAAATTGGTAAGGATGTTGTGACAGAGGTGGTGTTAATTACAGTCACGGGGACTCAGGGACTCAGGGACCATCTGTAAACACCAATATGTCAGTTTCCACATGAAATATTGTAATTTCTCCTCATATGGTCCTACGCTCCCCTCTCCCTCCTCCACTGCCAGCAATGATCCCTGTCTCTGCAGCAGATCTGCAAGGATGTCCTTACACTCGTTAGAAGAGCAGACTCTGCCATGCATTGCAATTTGCTTTGCCCCACCACCGTCACTCCCGCAACAGTGTACACAGATCTTTCCCATTAGCTATCATTGAGGAGTTGAATCTTCTTCCACAAGCGCTTCTACCAACACCAACTGCTCTACCTCGCAACAAGACTTAGTTTACAAGTACTGTCAACACTTTAAGAGTAACGACCCTCGGTCGTACATACCGTACTTCCGCACATATAAGCGCATGTGCTTATGTCCGGACAGAAGCGCACCCCTCAATTATAAGCGCATGTGCTTATATGTGAACACTATTGGTGAAACACCCGGGAGCTGAATATACTGCTGAGCATTGTGATAACACTGTTGTTTGAGGCACAGACAAACCTTTATTGCACATATAAGCGCATGGGCTGCTACCCGAACATGTTCACACAGCAACACATCTTTTTTGTAGCAAATTTTCACTTATAAGCCCATGGGCTTATATGTGGGGAAGTACGGTAAGAAAAGTGTCGTTATTCAAGAGTTGTCGTTACTTGTGCGGTTGAAAGTATGTAGTCAAAAGATCGCTAGGTGCGAAGATTGTGTCGTTATTGGCAAGTAATTGTGATAGCCGAGGTCATTATTGTGATAGCCGAGGTGGGCATTATTCATCATGCAGGTTGACTGTACATGTACCTATGATCTGCTGACTGCTGACTGGCATTTGGCTACTACTCACCTGTAACCCTGAATAGCTGCCGCCACCGCACTGAGCTGGTTTCACATGGCCAGCTTACCCATGCTTTGAAGTATCCTCTCTCCCTGGTCATATTACATGGCTGACTTTCACATCCTATTCAAGTTACCCCATCAGAACTGTGTTCTCAGATTCATCTGTGCACATTTGTTGACTGTGCTGTCACCTTTGATTGGCGTTGCTCACTAGTGCTCCTGTTTGGTTTGTTTCCAGTTAGTTTTTCTTCTGTTTGGCACACATGAGCAGTGTTGATACCGAGACCCTTAGTCGGTTTAGCTGCTCTTGCCCCGCCTCCACTGCTTCGACTACCATCGCTATGTACCTCCATTCGACTACCATCGCTATGTACCTCCATTCGACTACCATCGCTATGTACCTCCATTCGACTACCATCGCTATGTACCTCCATTCGACTACCATCGCTATGTACCTCCATTCGACTACCATCGCTATGTACCTCCATTCGACTACCATCGCTATGTACCTCCATTCGACTACCATCGCTATGTACCTCCATTCGACTACCATCGCTATGTACCTCCATTCGACTACCATCGCTATGTACCTCCATTCGACTACCATCGCTATGTACCTCCATTCGACTACCATCGCTATGTACCTCCATTCGACTACCATCGCTATGTACCTCCATTCGACTACCATCGCTATGTACCTCCATTCGACTACCATCGCTATGTACCTCCATTCGACTACCATCGCTATGTACCTCCATTCGACTACCATCGCTATGTACCTCCATGCTGGTGTTTGCACCATGATGGTTTGAGGCTGTCTTGTACTTAAAATACCCCATTACCCCATCGTTTTTTCGTAGCTCTTTGACGGTCCTATTTTCTTCTTATAAATTAATCCTGGGCTCTCCACCCAAGTCTAAATAATGGATACGCTGGTTACGCGTACGCTGTTACGCTGCTGCTACGCTGGTGGTGTTAGTGGATATTATAGCGTAACTTGTAGCTCTTTGGTCCTCTTTTCTTCTTACCGGGTATAAAGATCTGCGTGCACCTACGTACTTATATTTGTGTCTGGATTTGGCATCAATGTGACTTATGTTTGAACAGTGTCCGTGTGTGCATGTTGTGGTCTTTCTAAACTATGCTTTGTTGCAGCAAAGAGAGAGAACCTATGGCTGCATGTCAATGCTGGCTCAGTAGGCTCTGCTTTTGCTTGTCCAGAGTTCCGCAAATCTCTAACAGGAATTCAGGTGAGGATGAGTAAAGAGAAGTATGTTTTTAATCAATGTGTTGGCCACTGATGTTATAACCTGGTGCACTGCAGCATTTCGTAGTGTATTGCGGGTCGGAAGGGTGCCATCGCAGCAACCAATGGGCTAGGGTGTGCAGGTTGCATTTTGCGATGGTGTATAGTGGTTTGTGTGCACAACTCGATAGTGGTTTGTGTGCACAACTCGATAGTGGTTTGTGTGCACAACTCAATGCTTGCATTCAGAGTGTGCATTGTGTAGAAGCTACTGGTTGCAGAAACATGTCCGGATCAGAGTGACATGATGCCGATGAAGCTAACAGCTTGAAGCGACTATATCCCTCCCCAGAGCCCATTTGAGAGCATCTGCTTGTATCCCTGTGTCACTACATGTAGCAGTGCAGCACCCGTTTTGCCTGCAATACAAGTAGTATAGTGCGGTGAGGGTTCTGGGACAAAAGTGACCTTTGACCCCTGGCTGCCAAATAAGGAAGAATAGTCCATATATGGCAGATGACCTTTGACCTTTGAGTTGACCTTTGAGGTGCCATATAAGGCTGAATAGTCCATATATGGAAGATGTCATTTGACCTTTGACCTTTGTGGTGACCTTTGACCTTTCCGTATACGGATGAATAGTCCATATATGGAAGATGTCACTTTGACCTTTGACCTTTGACCTTTGAGCTGCCATATAAGGCTGAATAGTCCATATATGGAAGATGTCATTTGACCTTTGACCTTTGCTGTGACCTTTGCCCTTTCCAAATACGGATGATTGGTCCATATAAGGAATGTGACCTTTGACCTTTGGGATTGACCTCTGTGCTTTATATGGAAGTAGTGGCTATATAGGGTGATATGGTAGAATGTGCTATATATGTCTGGATGGTCTATAGTGGGGGTGAAGTGTCCTTATAAGGACGGTGCACGTGGTTCAGATCATATAAGGCATCTTCCATAGTGGGGAGAAGTGTCCTTATAGGGAAGGTGTACACGGTTGAGGTCATATAAGGCATGTGTCATAAAGGGGTGAAGTGTCCTTATAGGGAAGGTGTACACGGATGATGTCATATAAGGCATATTCCATAGTAGGGTGAAGTGTCCTTATAGGGAAGGTGTACATGCTGTAGTTTTTAAATAAGGCATATTCCATAGTGGGTGGAAGATGCCTTATATGGCATGCGTATCCTGGCCAGGTCATATAAGGCATGCAGTCATAGTTGAAACAATCATTGAGGGCCTTTCTGTCTGAGGCTTTGAAGAAAAGAAGCATCATGTAACAAAGCTGGGTTCGTACCCGCAACCTCTCGTACGGAAGGCATGAACTGTACCAAACGACCAGGACGACTACACACAAGACCCAAGGCTCAAATCGCCTATTTATACCCGGGCCGTAAAGAAGGAAAAAAACGCATCATGTAACAAAGCTGGATTCGTACCCGCAACCTCTCGTACTGAAAGCACCAACTGTACCAAACCACCACGGACGACTATGCAGAAGAGGGAAGGCTCAAATTGACTACATATACTGGGACCGAAGCTCACCAAGGTCTCGCTGGATGAGACATCAGCGACCTATCGACAATGTCATCGAGCATGGAAAGAAGGGTGGGTGGTGGTGGTGGGATCAGCATGACATCCAACAGATGGACAGTCGCCAACAATCACTACCCGTGCAGGATCATGATGCAAGTCAACCCAGCACGCGTACAGAGCACTCGTTTCATTTATTTTATTTTTTATTTTTTCATATGAATGACATTGTGAATCATGATCTAAGACTGTTCACATCCTTCTTTGTGAGCCAGGTATTGAATTTATTATCCGTGTAGCCTTTCCATTGCACAAGACGTTGATCCTTGTTGTATTTCAACACCTTATCGAATCTCAAACCGGTCTCTCTGGCGTGTTGCAGTTCTGCTTCGTAAAACGATCCGATGATGTGTTCTCCCATCAGATCACGAATCCTGTAGGTGTGTGGTGATGTTGGTAGGATGTCATCCACCCTGAATACTTCCTCCGTCCAGTTTGCAGTGTAGCCCTTCTCGAAATGACGCTTAGATACGGTTAAGCGCACCTCATCATCCACTTTGAACTTGGGTTTCGACTGCAGGGGGTCTTGTTGATCTGCATCTTTTGGTATTCTACCGTTCGATGCTTCGGTAGGTGTCATCCCAATGCTTCAATGCTTTGACTGGTTGTAGCGGTCTAGTAGTTGAGGTAGGACGTTGAGGTACGTGTTCGTGGATTTCTCTGTAAAGTGACGCCACATTCTTGACTTCAACGTTCTATTGAAGCGCTCGACCACCACCGCTTTACCCTCGTTATGGGTGCTGTACATGATGACGTTGTGTTGTGATAACCATCGTTTCATGGGGGCATTGTAGAATTCCTTGCCTTCGTCTACCCAGAGTTTTAACGGTGTCCTTCCGGATGTACTGACAATCTCATCGAACGCATCTCTCACGGCGATACCCGTCTTCGATTTCAAAGGCATTGCCCAGGCATAGCGGCTGTATAAGTCGATGACTGTTAGCAGGAATTTGATGTTCTTATTGCTTCGGGCAAACCGTTGCATATCCACGAGATCTGCACTCCATATATGGTCAATTGCTCTGCTCTTCACCTTGCGTCTTTTGAAATGCACTCGTCTGGGCTTGTGCAATTCGTTAGCCAGTTTCGTATGGAACTGTGCGGGTTGTGTCTTCTTCTTCTTCGGTCTTCCATCATGAATTGCCCTTTGCACTTTGGTGTCCCACAAGACTCCACCACCGCCTTGCAAGACACCTAAACTGAGAACCAGTTTATCGTTTTCCAGCTTTTCGTCATCATCAAAGACTCTTCGGAAAATTCGAAGTGCTTCATCCAGACCATATTTGGAAAATAGCTTTCCCATCAATATGGCATACCATCCACATACTGCTGTGCTTCTGTCTTGAACGGCTTGGGTGTTGGTGATGATCTTACAGTCTGCGTAGGCTTCTTTAAAGAAATCGCACAGTGCAGGTTCAGTGTAATCTTGCTCCATAGTGTATAGACTGCGTCCGAAACTGTCGAAAACCAAGATCACGTTTTGCTCGCGACACACGGTCAACCAATGATGTCCGCCTTCCGTTGCATCGTACACCGGTAGAACGTTGTCGGTGTTGACGATACAAAAGTCTCCATTGTTCAAGGGTAGCAAGAGGTCGTAACTCGTACAGCCCACGAACCCTTCGACACCATTCAATCTTCCTTTGATATCGGCACTGCTGAGAGGATAGTCCATTCTTGATCATAGCCTGAAAATATTTGGCACGTGATCACATGGAGCGTCCGCTCAGGATATCCTTGATGATACGAGTGATCCTGCTTTTGTCCTTCAGCACCTGTTGAATGAATGATGCATCGTCCACCATCACCTTTTGTGCTCTGATCATGAAATGCTCGGGATGGATCAATTTTGCTTCTGTTGTTCTACCATAGGTGGAAGTCATATCGTTGAGATCTTGAAACTTGAGCTGTGATCCCGGTACAGCTAGCACAAGGGTGGTTAGTTCATGAATCTTTCGTTCCGATCGAAGGAACCCATCGACGTGTTTGTCGATTCCCATGGCACCTGCTATGGCTGCAAACGGGTACCTGGACATGTAGATGCGATTCGTCTCGTTCACCAGAGTAGTGTAGTCGTCCAGCGTCTGCGTCTTCAGGGCATCCGCTGCCGCTTCCACCCGACTCCTGAACCTCAGTCGATCTTCATCGTAGAGTTGCAGCAGTTGTGATCGGCTTGTGAAATAGTTGCTCTTCAAAAAGGTTACCGGTATATTTGTATGCCGGAGGAAACTGTCCAGGATTTGCAGGATCCATCGGTCAAATTCATGATCTTGTAGTAGATTGAAAGGCACCGATGTTAAAGGTGCCTTTCTCTTCTTCCTGACATCTGCAACGGAATCGCGAACTTGATCGGTAGTGGAATCATAGTTGAGTATGTTGGATGCAATCACATTTCTCACAGACGGGTAACTGATGTGATCGGGATTGTTTTTGAAGTGGGTGTCATATAGACGCTTTACACGCGGATCGGCTTGCAGTTCCAACAGGGTGGAGGTGTTCAAACTGTGATCTGGCACTTGAGAAAGAACTTTCTTGACGCTTTTCAAGTAGTTATTGTAGTTATTACCTCCTTTTTGCCGCATCAGTGGTGGTATACCGAGAACTTCCCACGAATTTGCTCTCTTCTTGATGATGTGCTGGGGATGTTTTGACATAAACTGTAAGGTTTGCAACCTTTTCCGCTTGGGTATCACGAAAGATCCCTTTCTGAGCCCCACTCTTTGTATACTGCTCGGTAGCCCATTGGAGAATTTCACCGTAAGATGCTCCATTCTTATTCATGGTTGGAATTTTTTTACGTTTCAGCTAACTTTCGGGCTAACATTTCGGCTAATTTCTGGGCTAACTTTTCGGCTATTATTGGATTTTTTTATTATTATATTTATTTTTTTTATTTTTTTTAGAACGAAACAGCATGCTGTCCGCAGATTGAGTTTTTTTTTTAAATATATATATTTTTTTATTTTTTTTATTTTATCGCACACACACGCACACACACACACACATCAACGAGGGGTTTATTCAAAAAACACCTTTAATGCAGTGTCTTCGCAATACGTGTAGTACTGATTAGAAGAGCAATCAATGGTTAGGATAGGCCTACGACACACCGTTAATAACTTCTCATACAATCTAAAGATAATGAATGACTTCGTACACAGACCACCAAACAGAGTATTGAGATAACGTTTGATGTTGCTTTTATCGGTGAAGCGAAACAGATACATAAAGTTTGCATTGATCTTCATGTCCTTAATGTTATCAAAGCTCTGAGAGAGAAAGAACACGTTCAACTTATGATGATGACTGTACATGGTGAAGAACTTGTAGAGACACTCTCTTTGACTACCATGCTTCAAACCCATCACTCTGATGTCATCAATGATCACATAGGTATTAGGCTGG